CAATCCCGTGCGTGCCCACGCACAATCCTGCGCATGCCCACGCGACTTCCTCAGAACCTCGCCATGCATCCGATCCTTGTCCAATCGACGTCAAACTCGCTCTCAAGCCTCCATTCACGTACTAGGACCTGAAATATCATAAACAAGCACAACCTAGCGTGAAATCGGCCTAAAACACGAGAATCAATACCTCAAACGGAGTAAGAACAGGGGTGAAAACATGTGTAAATAACGGTCTATCAGCTTTCTCTCTCTAGGAATCGCTCTGTCTCTCTAAAACTCGAATCCCCTCTCAATTTGGCTGAAATCTGCCTAAAAGGGCATCACTGGCCAGAACACGGTCGAGTGCACGGCCGTGTTCTGGTCCAGCCCGCCCGTGTTTTGGATGTGGCATAAAAACATGGCCACGTGCATTGGGAAAACACGGGCGTGTTTTGGGCAAAGCACGGCCGTGTTCTGTCTTAGGCCTGCCCGTGTTTTTTACCTGTTCAAGCCACACATGGGGAGTCTCGGCGGTAAAAACACGGCCAGGAACACGGCCGTGTTCTGAGGGCCTCCTGCCCGTGTTTTGGCCCTGGCTCGACCAAACGACTTCCAAACGATCTGAAACTCGCGCTTGGCCTTCCTTTCGACGCCTGGGACCTGAAATAGGACAAAGTAGCACAACCCGGCGTAAAATAGGCCAAAACACACAGCCATGCTCCGCAAATGGATAAGAAATAGGGGTATAAAACCATGTAATTACATCGTTATCAACACTCCTCGCTCAGCAACACTATCGAAAGATCCCCAAGTTTCTTCTTGTTGGTGAGGAGGTCCTTCATGAACTTGGCGTACTTGGGCATCTTTCACTGTGCCTCCACGAATGGCATGCTGATGTTGACCTGCTTCAACATTGCCATGAACTTGGCAAACTCAGTCTCCAGCTTGTCTTTGTGCAGGAGAGTGGGGAAGGGAAGTTGGGGTACATGCTCCTTAACCACTGGCTATGGCTTGGGAGCAGGTGCTTCTTTTCCCATCCCCACTTCTGCATCGTCAGCTGGAAGTGCTGAGGCAGGTAGTGGCTCGTCCTACATGGTCTGCGAAGGAGCAGCATATGTCGTCTTGCGGCTCCTGGTAGTGATGGCATCCAGCTGCTGGTGAGGCTTGCGAGGATTGTGAACGGTGGTGGCAGGCAAAGTCCCCGGTGCTCTGGTAGTATTTTGGCGAGCTAGGCCACCAATATGATTCTGTAGATCTTGCAAAATAGCACCTTGGTTCCTCTAGCCTGCCTCCAAGGAGACTATGTTCTGGTCCATCCTCATGAAATTCGCCTGGCTGGTGGTCATGAATGCCCGGAATATATTTTTCAGCTCTGTCATTTGATTATCTGGAGCTGCAGCTGTTGGTGGCTAGGCATACTGACGCTGGGGCTGCTGAAAGGGTTGCCCCTGCCAAGGCTGGTAAGGCTGCTGCTGTGGAACAGGCCTCTGTCTGGCCTGGAAAGGCTGCCTCTGCTGAAAACCACCGCTGGTGCTGGGAAACCAGGTGGTTTAGTGGTGTTGTTGGTATTCCAGGAGAAGTTGGGATGTTGGCGCCAACCTTCATTATAGGTACCACTGTAAGGATCGAGGCGCCGAGCATTGGCGATGAAGTCCAACTGCTCCTGGGGTGTAGAAGACTCCCGCATAGCCTGGCAGTCTTCCACCAGATGGTTCAAGCTCTCACACCACTGACATTGAGCTACTCGAGGTCCGGCCAGACCTCTGCCCGGAATAAGACTGTTGGGCTGCTTCAATGTTTGCACCAACTCAGCCACCTCCTGCTCGAGCCCCGACCTGGCCTCCATGGCGTGCACACCACGATCTCGGGAATTCCTGACTCTAGTGCTCTGCCCCCAGGAATGATCTCTGGCCAAGGTACTGATCATCTGGTTCAGTTCGGGTGGAGTCTTAGTGAGAGTATCCCCTCCTGGGCATAGAGACTCAATCACCCTCTGGCTTTCCGGAGAGAGAGCACTATAGAAGTTCCCCACGGTGAATGCATCACTGAAGCCATGATGGGGATACTGCCAAAAAATCCCGAGTACCGCTGCCATGCATCACGAAGTGACTCATCTAGCTCTTGGCGGAAGTGAGTGATCTCTCGCTGGATCTCTATGGTCTTGAACCCGTTCTTCAGCTGCAGGAACCGGGAAAGATGCACCCTTGCCTCCTCATCCTTCAAGCCATGAAACTAGATAGAGGATGTAACGAGTTGAATCGAGCACGGCTGGATCTCGAAGTTGTTCGCTAGAATTGGGGGATAGAGGATGACAGGGCGGATATCAGCGACCCATGAAGTGTAATAATACTCCCAGGTGGGACCCGGCGGGGGCTGTTGATGCTGAACCCCATCTTCCTAGGGTATTGGGTTGTTCCCTAGGATCTGATTTACCGGGGGAACCTGGAGAGGCATCCCCTGGGGTGAGTTGTGTTCACCTTCCATCTCGTACTCGCCCTCAGAATCGCTGCTCAAGTGTCCGTCTATGCGCTCCTCCGTAGCCAATCTTGCTCGCTGTTCTCACCTACGCTGGCGACAAGTGCGTTCAAGCTCTAGGTCCAACGGAAGTAAACATCCTAACTGGCTACGGGTCATGCACTATCTGCACAGACCAAAACAACCAACCCGTGAAGGTACAAGTGGGACAAAGCAAACAAACAATGCGAAAAAAAAGAAGCTAAATTAACAGAAACCACGTTTCTTCAACAACCTAGCCGTTCCCCGGCAACGCTGCCAAAAACTTGACTCGCTTCTACCGTCACTCTAGAAAATGGCCAAGTGTAACCACCTACTAGAGCGTAGTATAGCGGGTTTGGGTTTTAATGTCAACCCGGGTCCTAAGTGTGATGACTACTCCGTGAGTTCTTATTATTTAGCAGTGAAAGCGTAGTGAAGGTCCGAACAAGCAAACAAGCAAACAAGCAAAGCAGTTAAAGGTTATTTTCAAGTTGAGAGAGGTCACCCGGATATAGGTCCGAACAAGCAAACAAGCAAAGCAGCCAGATTGTACTTTACCAAGTTCAATTTCAATGATAGTTATACTGCGGGAGGTTCTTAAACAGTCGTCAGTCTCGACTAAAGGTCTCCAGACCCTCTCAATCTGAGTCCCCAGCGGGCGACTAACCTCCACCGAAGTAAACAGATTGAGGACCTAACGAACCAAACCTCCTCTACCGAAGTAAATCTGGTTCAGAATAGTAATTGACTCCTCGAATAAAGTCGCCAATTCACTACCTTCAATTAAGGGTGCTCTATCAACCTAGGCAGATATTCTCTTTCTAGGTCAAAGCAGAAATAACAGGAATTTGATCAGGATTCATGCCATTCAAGAAATCAAACCTCCATTGAATATAATCATATCACTGAATTCGTACTTGGGTTCATACAATCAGACCTAACATACAAATCTAGGGTTCTTCATACCCAAGTGAATAAGAAAGTTACTCCATAGAGAGAGATGGGAAATCTAGCTCATATGCGGAAAGCATACTGTGGAGGATGAGATTCTGCTTCTGGCAATCAATCAGCACTTCTCCAAGCTCAAGCCGGGCTCCAATGGTGATGGAGATCGATCTAAGGCGCTTGAAGAATCAGGTTTGTCACTTTCTCTCTCTAGGTATACGCTTTTTCTCTCTAAAACTCGGAACCCTTCAACTTTGCCCTTCTTTTCCCTTGAGAAGCTGTCAATCGCGATCCCAGGTCGGGTATTTTAGGTGACGATCGGGGATTGTTGAAACGCACCGTCGAGGACTGGGGATTAAACCCCGATCAAGGTCAAGAATACCCGACCAGGGATTTATGCTCAATACCCGGGCCCCCTTGTGCTTCTCAAACGCCCAAAAGTGATTTTCCCCGGTCTGCTCAGAATAATACCAGGCCGGGTATATTTTCTCATGGCCGGGTATTTTGCTCCTCCAGCACACTTCAACTCAAAGGTGCTCCTTTCAACCCGAAACTCGTTTCTTCGCCTCGATGCCAACGCCAAACCCTGAAATATGACATAAACACACAAGCTAGCGTGAAATCGGCTTAAAACACAAGAATTAACAACTCAAACGGCTCAAGAATAGGGGTAAAAACATGCGCAATAAATGGTCTATCAGGTACGTAGGCGACCGAAAGGTTCAAGTCCACACAACTCCTAAAATATTATTTTATCAAATTATACAATCAAGTCATTACCGATGGGTACGTGATCAATTTATCACCTAACCCTTTGTAAACAAATTACGATCGATGGATCGTGTTCAAATCAATAAACTATTACGTACCGATGGGTATGTGATGAATAATCATTTAACGTATCTAAAGCAAATTACGATCGATGGATCGTCATCAAATTAAGCAACTATTACGTACCGATGGGAACTTCAGCAAATGTTTTAAAACAAGTAAACGTCGGGCAAACTACGAGGGCTTTTTTTCTAAATCTCGCCAAAAATATTAATTAATTCTTCCAACGAGATTACATGTTGATGAATATGTAATGTATTTCAAAAATGGCATCTTGTATTCGAAGTAAATCCAAATAATTTCAAACAAACAAATATCATAAAAGACAAATCAAACTTATAGTACCGACATAGGGCGATGTAAGGGTGCTAATACCTTCCTTAGTCGTAACCGACCACCGAACCCATAAATCTATTTCGCAGACCGAGCTGAGCCTAAATCTTAACCGATTAAGCCTGGCTTTCTAAGTGTCCAATCCACTTTGAGAGATTGGTGGCGACTCCTCTTTTTTTGCGCCGCTTCGCGGACAGACCGTTTG